GGAAAATCTGGATCCCTCTTCATGAGACAGAGGAAAGACAGAGGAGAGAGACAGACAGGTGGTTATCACTATATATTATATCAAATTTGATCTTGTGCAAGCACGCCCAAACAATGTTTCAGACATACAGAGCTGTGCAGCCCAGATCTCCAACTGGAGTTTGGCCAGGAAGGCCATGTTTTCAAGAGACAGCTGAGCTGACATCACTCAAATCCACATAATAACAGGCCCTAAAAAATAAAGACCCAGTTTTCAGAGGTGCTAAGCACTTGATGCTCTTACTGACCTGAGTGGAAATAGTGGATGTTTATTAGCACTTTTGAAAATCAGAATCTGTATGATTATGTAGAGGGGACTGGATGTTAAAGGAAATATTTTGAACATATGCCTTGAGATTTAGTATCATTTTTACTATGAAAAGAATTATGACATGCTTCATATCATTAAGAATACCTGTGCTCAACATTTATTTTACAAGACTCTTGCAAGATTCATTTCAGGGACAAGCTCCTCAAGTTTTCCTGTAGCATAGAGTTCTCACATTCCATGTTCCAATGGTGATTTCTTGTTTAGTGAGCTTGATTTTTGACCCAGTAACATTACTGACCATCCCACCCCTAACATCTTCAGTAGAAGCGGTCAGCTTGACAGTAGCATATTTTTCTACTTCATCCTGCTGAGTGCCAATGAAAAACGTTGTTGTTGTTAACCTGGGGCTCGACCGATCCATTATGAGGGTGGTTAACTGGCTTTGCATCATTGGTGATTCTTCAGTCAAAAATAACCTGGCAGTGCCTATCTCTTCTCCAGATGTGGATGGCCATTGGCACTTGTAAGCTCATCCACCCTTTGACAGGCTTTGGTTTTAGTCCTGCTGCATCTCTATACACCCTCCTCACCTGGCAGACCAGGTGTGGGGAGATGCTGGTTTAGTTGCCAACAACCTGACCATGAAACAGGTTGAACTGGGCTACATCGTACCAGTGGCAGGGTAAACCTGACCCCATAGATTGTACAAGGATTGCAAAAGCCCGGGAAGAATGGAGGAAAGTTATTGCTATATCAAAGTAGCTCCAACAGTTGGCGTGGCCTTGGGACTGACTGAATGGCTGAGACTAAGTGAAGTATATGTTCTACTATTAAAGGTCATCTCTCTAATGTGACTTCATAGAGAGTTTAATTATGATGTTTTAATGTTTTTACTCAGAAGTGTATAACTTCAGACTTTGTTGGTAAAATATGTGAGTGTTACAAATCTACATCAATCAGCTGAATGCTGCTATGGAAGAGCAGTGTCTTCATTTGAACTACAGAAAATTGAAACCTGTTTGGATAATTAAAACAGAACATCTGAGCTCCTCTTCTACTACGACTTTCTGTCTGTGAATTTACTTTTTGAGCACAAGCGCATTAAATTAAAAAGAATGACCTAAATATCCTTGAAGCAGTTCTTTCTCTGCACTGGCCCTTCTCCCCACGTGACTAGACAGACAGCTTTAGTTTAACTAGCAGAGCTTATAACAAGTGTGAGTTGCGCATAGTGGTCGTTGTTGCCCTTAGGGGGTATGTTCCAATGAGTGCAAACATATAGGGGCATGCATTTTCTGAGGCACAAATAACAGCAGCAAATATTTGTGCTGCTGCTGTTTGTCCCAGGACACACCCCTGCATGCGTGTTCCGATGCACCACAAAATAACCCCGGTGGCGTAGGGGAGGCTGGCCCCAGCAGCCTTAGAGTTCTGGGGGCCTCCTGGGGCAGCAGCGGTGCCGAGTCAGCTGCTCAGAGCCTAGCCAGTGGACAACCAGGCTCCATTTCTGTTGGCACACGCTGCTGCTGCGTGCTGTGCATGCTACTTTTTTTAGCAGTGTTGGTTTTTTTTTTGACACCAGGATCTCCCAGTGTCAACCACCACCCCGCCAGCATTGCTAGTTAATGGGTGGATGTGTGCAGTTTGCAGTACCTCAAATGTGTTTTGGGTGCTGCAAATGGCATGTGCGTGCTCATCAGGATATGCCTAGAGAGTCCAGTATATTTATGAGTAACTATTCAATCAGAAAGAAAGGAATTGGTATTTTTCAGTCTTAGGTGCACACTTGCTTTGTGACTGAAATGTATTAGTCCCACACTGGCAAAAATTTACCTACATACAAAGCTAAGCAGATGAAGGTGAAACATGCTTGTGTGTTATATTTTTTCAATGTGGTAAGGTAAAGGACACTTCTCAGCCCCAGGTTACCTTCCCTGGCTGCAGATGAGTAGTGACTTCATAATAGTTACTTGGTTCTTTACCAACCTGACCAAGAGAGAAATGGTGGTTTATGGTGATAGAAAAAAATGGAAAGAAAGAATAGCCAAGAAATTTCATAATGTAGTCAAAAGGTATTCATTTGTAACATGGAGGTGCTGATATCACCTTAAAAATTATGTCCCTAGATTTGAATCAAGTTTTTTCACTGCTGGAAAGAGCTGAATTGACAGGCTACTCTATGAAAAATAATAGCAGCTACAACCTGAACTCTGTGAAAATTGCATGTGGTCACCAGGCTTGTGACATGTTAGCAATGTAGTTCTTGGTTAGACAAGGTCATGATGGCAAAGGCCTATATGATTTATAGAAGCCTAAACACAGTTACAGTTCACTCCATTATTGTGGGATGGCAGTTTCCATTACAGTATCTTTCACCTTTTTCTGAAGCATCTGACATTTTCCAGTGACTCAAATAGATAGGATGTCCTGGAACAAGGTGCTGAGATGGCAAATCCTATGTCCCAAATTCTCCTTCCCACAATTTATAGCTGGAAAAAGGCAGTATTTATAAATGCTGCTGCTTAGTCACAACCTTGAGCCTAGACACTAAAGTAATCTCCCCCAGCCCATTCAGTTTCACCTCTGTAATTTTCCAGATCTTTGAAAGGAGTCACCTCAACATCACCTTCATAATGGATGCTGCCTATTGAACCACTGGGCTAACTCCAATTTTATCTTCCTTAAGTAACCATCAAAAACATCCAAATATCAGGAAACCATTACTGAAATAAGATAGGGAAGTTACTTGGCATTCCCTTTTTTAATATAGATTTGTCACTGTGTTTGGGGACATCCATCAATGCTCTCAGCTGGCTGCTCCTGAGAAGGGTCACAGATCCAGTCAAGTCTTCAATAAATCCCACCTCTTAGAACATGCTGTGCACAGATTTGTTAGTTACTATGTAGAGTTTTAAAGAAACAGAAAAGTCTAGGCATCATCTAAGCATACAGTCCAACTGGGCTTTGGCTTATTGTGCCAAAGTTCAGAACTCTTTGTAGAAGAGCAGGCAGATTAGTCTGGTGTCTAAGCAATGTAGCATACACTCTAACTTGTAACCAGAAATGTTATTTTGGAATTACCATTGCATATTCCTCTGCAAAATATTTTGATTGACACAAAATCAATGACAAGCTTTTGGAACTGACAAGCAGTACGACCGCAGGACTTTAATCTGTAGTTCCCCCTCTGGGATGTACAGGTGTCCCTTGCATCAGAGGTGGCCATCACAAAACTGGAAATTTGATTTGGGGGATGATCCGGCCCCTTCTGAAACCTGTTGAACTCGAGAAGCCAATGGATCTTGGGGAAGCATGGAATGGAGCCACATCACTAGTTCCTTGCTTACTGTGGCCTTGTTAAAGCTCCCTGGACTCAGGACCATGGAGTGAGTAGCAGGAAGAAGTTCTGAATATTCATCTTTTTGGGACAGGGCATCTGCCTTACTGGTCTTGGTGCCAGGGTGGTATGTGGCAGTAAAATTCAACTGGGTAAAGAACAGAGACCACTTGATCTGGCTCTGGTTGAAATTCCAGGTGGCTGAGCCCCTTCTAAATGGCACCACCTTTATTTAAAAGCTGCCTTGATGGTTAGAAGCTCCCAGTCCACATTATAATTGTGCTTGGCAGGGGACAGTTTCCTGGAAAAGTAGTGCATGGCTAAGGAAGTCCCTGCATCCCCAGTTGTTGGTCAGTACAGCCCCAAAGGCAAAGCTGAGGCATCATTTTCCACCAGGAAAGGCTGGGCAGGGTCAGGGTGTATCAAAATGGGGACTGAGTTGAAGGCTTTATTAAGCCTCTTGAAGGCAGCCTGGGCCTCCAGGGTCCATGTGAAGCATGCCCCTTTCTTAAGGAGGGCAGTGATAAGGACTACATGCTTGGAAAACCCCTTGATGAACCACCTATAGAAACTGGCAAAACCAAGGAAGCATTGCACTCCATGGGCAACTTTTGGTGATTGCCAATCTAAGATGGTAGTTACTTTCTTCAGGTCCATAGACAACCCTTCAGGCTTCATCACATATACCAAGAACTTGATATGTGCCTTATCAAATTCACATTTCTCCAACTTAGAACTTAGAATCTTTCTAACTACAAAGGCAGCCAAATACTGCTATCTTGGGAGTCATCAAATCTCTTTCATTGGAGGCTTTTAAAAACAGGTGTCACTGATCCTGTCTCAGTGCAGAGCGGTAGATTAGATGATCTCCTGTGGTCCTTTCTAGCCCTACACATTTATGATTCTCATGCAATATATTTATTTCTTGGGAATTTAGTATGTATGACAGGCACTATACTGATAACTCACAGGAAGAAAACTAGCCAAAGGAGGGTGGAGCGCAGTACACAAAAGTTTGTGCTGGTGCTGCTTTGCTGTACCTGTTCTATCAAGTGAGCACCTGTTTCCAGTGGTGTCTGTCAGGCATCTTGCAAAGACATGAAATTTCACTTAAAAATGAAGTTAAATAGGATGAGATGTAAAACATCATCACATGCTTCTCAAAACTATTTCTATGTTCTAATTAAGTCTTGCCTATATTGCGCTTGGGTTTAAAATTCTTCTAACATCTGTTGCTTTAGTGTTAAGAAAAAAATTAACAAGCCAGCCAAGAACTATTCTAACCAACAGGTTCTTAGGTATGATTTTATCTATTAGCTTGATGGATATAGTCAATACTATAGATTTCATATACCTTTGGCAGACAGCAATTTCTTGTAATGAGTAGCCATGTGATCTTGAATGATGTACTGACTTGACAGATTGCAGGAGGATCCAGGGGAAAAAGCTGTGAGAATAAAATCTTATTTCAGTCAACAGGCTAAGAATATCTCAGACAATAATAGCTTTAAAATGTTTAAACATTTGGTCCGCTCTGCTTGTGATGGAAAAACATTTACTTTATTTTATTTTTTCACATAGGAAACATAGCAAGAAAGAGTTATAAATTATTGCAGTTTGGTGTGTTTCTGAATACTTGAAAATTATGGTTTGCAATACATAATGAATGAGTACTGCATTTGTATTCCTATTAAATCACCACTTATGTATGCATTAATCTTTGCCATTATAGTTCTCTGGAGAACATGGGTTTGTTATTTAATCTTCACTACAATATGAAACTCTGCAATTTAAAAGATTTAATACTAGAGATTGGAACATAGGATTGGAAAGAAATGTGTATACATGTCTTTAACCAACTCCCACACCAATACTGAGCTAACTTCTACCCTCAGTTACATATAAAACACTCTGGCATAGTAAATGTGGTTGAATAGATGCAAATATAGGCAGATTTGACCCAGTGACTGAGGCTGGAATGGAGAGTGGAAATATATGCCCCACTACTTGATGATGACATTCCTTGGACCCTCTAACCTGCAGAATATCTAAAATATTCAGACAACTATTCTGCTGGTCTACAAGACCACCATTTCTTTAACTTCTGATCCATGTCCAAAATGTTTTGATGTTTCCCTTGTGATGTTCAAAACTTTTTACTATGTTATCCCTTGACCCTCATATTTCCTCAAATGCCAAGTGCCAACACCTCTTTTCCATACCTGGACTATTTTCTGTCCCTGCTCCACTACTTGGAGAATTTAGTTCTACTCCACCATTATCCATGATTGCAGCTCCATTTCTCTCTGACTCTGAGATTCCTCTCCTCAAAACTTACCTTGTAATTAGAGATAAGATGAAGTAAAAACCAAGATTAAACCTCATTCTTAATTTTTAGTAAGTACATTCAGAATCCAAAGCAGATTGAGACTTAAATGTTACAGTTGGCCCTTCTCATTCAAATGGGCCAAACCAAAACCTCTGATGAATACAATCCCAAACAGGAGGTGGTGTCAGTATCTATATCCCAATCTGATTTTTTCGGCTTGATTATGTTTCTCCTTAAATACTCTACTTCAACTTGCAATAAAGTGAGTTTCTCTTGGCCTTAAAGGTTTAGTGAAAGTTGAGTGCGTACAAAGGACCTAACCATGCACTTATTATTGGACCATGGTAGGAGCACAACTGGTAATAAGCACTACACCTGGTTGGCAGAATTGGATTTTTAATATTTTTCTGCTTCAAAGTTAGGTAGAATTTTTCCTTACTCTGACAAAAGTTGCTTTTGATGAATTACTGTTGGTTTGTGGCAAACTGCCAAAAGAGATGGAGAAGCAAATGAGAGCATGCTTCTATGTATTATGCAGGACTAATGTTGAGGTTGGTATTGATCCCAATTGCATTAGGCCTTGATTGTGCACCAAGAACCCTGCAGGTAGCTCTTTAGGTTCCATGCCGGGCAGGGGTAGGTATTCTTAATAAAAAATAACATCAGATAATTTTTACTATGATATTTTAATGTTAGTGCAGTTAGCTGCTCACTCCATACAGACTGAATGATATATATTTCAGTGGCAGAGGAAGCTTAAATGAATTTTGTCTATAAAAGTAAATGACCTCTTCATTCTGTTTTAACCATGCATTTTTTCCATCCCAGATTTGCCCTTCAGACATGACAGGTTCTGTAGGACAGTCTTCAGCAGGTGATAAACATATTATGGGATGTGGGGAATCAAATCTGCCCTTGGCTGATACATCTACTGGTGCTGAAAAGTCCTTAAATCAGGATAATTAGCCCAACCTTTTCAGATTTGGCTTGTGGCTGGGCAATGATTAGGTGTTTTATTCTCTATAGACCCAGGCTGCAGTTTTAGTTAATGGTTTAGTTTCAAACTTTTGATGGAAGTCTGAAAGAGATGTATACAGAATTAAAAGTCTGGAATTTCTTAGTTCTAACCTTGTTTTTGTTTCTTTCTTTTTTCCTTTGTAACCTTCTCTATTTCTAGTTTGCCATCTATCACTCATCTATCAGATGAGGATAATGCTGCTTACAATACTACCTCTGTCATGGGGGTATGGTTACGCTTTATTAATTTTTGTATAGCACTCTGAGTATATAAACTAGTATAAAAGAAAAAGAATCAGGAGATGGATGTGCCACCATTTTTCCTTTTGTTGCTTACATGTGTTTTAGAACTTGTTACTGCAACTGATGATTTAAAAGCCAGTGACAAGGTGTAATGGGGCCCTGGCCCCTACCCCATCACAGAAGATGAGTGAGCCAGGGAGCAACCAGCCGGCTCCAGGGCCCTGGAGAAACTGTTAGGAGTGGAGAGGCCTTTAAGAAAAATGGCTGCTCACCCTAGGTGGAGAAGGCACAATTAGGGCTATGATTGACAAGTCTGGTGGGGGAAGTGGCAGGTCAGGTGACCCAGAGGGGTGTGTCTAGAGGCTTCATAAGGCCAGGACCATCCCTGAGAACTCAGATTAGCTTGGATGTGCTATGGCAAAGGAGCTCCAGACCACAGGGGTAACAGCCCCAGGCATCACGGTTAAGTGGTTTTTGTTGTATGTTTATTTCTTATCACTGTGGTGTGACTCAGACCCAAGCTGGGGGTGAATTTTAGTTTGGTAGCATCTAGCTTATATTTGTGCTTAAGTTTACACTGGAGGACTGAGAAAGTGGCTGTGAGGGGATGCTTGGAGGCTGCAGGGAATGCCTGGACACTTGCTGCCACTGTTGCTGGAAGACTAGACTGCAAACTGGGGATCAGAGCCTGTGACTAAGACTGTATGAGTAGGCCTAGAAAGACCCTGTAAAGGCAGAGGGCAAGAGAGAGCCCAAAGCCCCACAGACTGTATGAGCAGGCCGAGTCCAATAAGGTGAGACTGGGGCCAAGGGGCCCAGAGCCTGGGAGGGTGAGACCTGGGCTGGAGCTCAGGAGCCAGGGTCCAGGGCAGTGAACCTGGGTTGAGGGACCCAATCAGAGTACGAGAGCCAAGGATGCAAGGCTGCAGTCTGAACAAAGATTTAAGGCCTGAGGGGCTAAGTGCATGTTGAGGGCCAGGGACTCCAAAACTATGCCAAGTGACACCTGTGAGGCCTCTACATGACTATAGGGGAAGATGGAGGTCACAATTCTAGCACTTAAGGCAATTAGAGCAGTAGGGCTCAAGCCCCAGAGATGAAGAGACTATGTAATAAGGATAGGAAGAGCACCCTGAGCTCATTGGTTCCTGTGGGCAGCCTCCCCACTTGACTTTAACATTGAGGCATGACAGGCGAGACAGCAGGGTGGGAGCCTGAGAGGCTGGAGTGGGGAAATAGGGTAGGATCAAGGCAACCACTAGAGAGCAATATGGCTACCCTTGGAGCCTGCCCTGCTACACAAGGGATTTAGCAAGAAAGTTCTGCTGCCTTCAGTGGGATATTTATGTGCAGCAGCAAACCCAACGGCAGCCAGCTTTAGAAACAGGGCTCTTGAACCCCCCTCCTGACAAAACACAGAGATGTACTTGGAACATATAAGCACAAGCCAAAGGTTTATTAAGAGGCGATTACATTATTGAGGGGCAAAGCAGCACATACTATATGGCTCATAGACATTGACATAAATATCTAATACAAGACTGCTATAAAATACCTTAGGATTTTGAGTGTAAAAGTACAGGCAATGCTATATTTATTCATAATAAATACCACTTTACAGATAAGTAGTAGGAATGTCACAATGTGATATGAGACAAAGACATGTAAATCTAGATTTTTACTCAGTTTGGTGAAAAATTATGATTACATGTGGTCTAATTTTAGTCAATGAAAGCACTCATGAATAAATACAATAGTAAGAATAAGAGGTTTAATATCAGGGCCATAAAATTTCATAGTTCTTGCAGGCATTTTATAGTTGCAAAAACTCTAAAAGCAAAAGCTTACAGAAGTTTTGCCAGTTAAGCCCCATCATCACCCTGGCAAAAGTTATACCATAATCAGAATAAAATATAAGTAAATATAAGACCACATTCCTAGCTAGTATAAACTGTAGTAGCTCCATTGACTTCAATCAGTGGATATGTAATGATTTGAAATTAGTAGATGATCTGAACTGTTGTCACTAAAGAAATAAAATAACATTCGAGTTATGCCATAATCTCTACCTGATGTGCTGATTTTAATACATGTAGAGAAAAAGGAGCATGACAAAAAACAGTGTGATAATATCAATAATATCAGGAGATTAAAACTGGCTCAAATTCACTTACGGGAACATCCTTCTGGAAATGAATTATAGCCAGAACCTGAAAGGCTGAAGATGTACAACATGGTAAAACTATAATTGTTTGATTTCTTATCTCTTATAGAAACTGACACTTTCTTGGATCGGCAAAATCAATTTTCATGTATAGCAAGCTAAATTGCAGATGCTGCCACATAATAAATAATAAAAAGGATCAAGGAAGTCTCTACTGACGATTTCTCAGTGATCTAAAGCTGGCCTTTCTGTGTCCCAGTTCCCCATTCTAAAATAAGCATACGGATGCTTCTTTATCTTACAGTGGGATTGTGAGGATAATCCAAGTTGGTGACATAGTTAGATACTATAGTAAACGTGGGCCACAAGTGTGACCACTAGACAGGTATGTGAAAGAGAGACAACGGCTTGGTTTAGCTAATTTGTTGGTATGTCCAATTTGAATCGGGGTGTACTTGGTATCCAGTTGGTCTAATAAAAGGTATCATTTTGGAACCAGGAGTTCTAGTTTTTTGTGTCTAATTTGAATCAGGATTTTTTGTTTTAAGTCTTCAAATATTTAAGTTGCTGGGGAAAAAAATACAGAAGCTGTGGTAACCCCTATTAAAATTTATGCTGAGGTCTGCATATAACCTGGCTCCAACAGGAGATTTAAACAGTTGTGTATCCTTATATAGTCCTTTTGCTCATTTAA